ACCCTGTTGACGACAAGGACACAGGCCGGGACTCCCTCTAGAACCCTCAGTTTGTTTCTCAGAGTCCATAGTCTCTCATGGTTCGTCTTCCCCTCCAATTTCCCCTCTTTCATTCTTCCCCTCCTGCTATCTTCTTCTTCTTCTTCTTTTTTTTTTTAACATATAATGTATTATTTGCTTCAGAGATACAGATCTGTGACTCAACAGACTAAGACTTTTTTTTAAGATTTATTTATTTATTTGAGAGAGAGGTGGGCGGGGGGGGCAGAGGCAGAGGGAGAGAGAATCTCCAGCAGACTCCCCTCTGAGAGCAGAGCCCAAAGCGGGACTCAATCCCACGACCCTGAGATCACGACCTGAGCCAAAATCAAGACTTGGGACACTCAACTGACCGAGCCACCCAGGCATCCCTTTCCCCTAAGACTTTTAATAAGCGATGTTGTGACAATTAGCTACTAACCACTTGTAAAAATAGGAAATCAGATCTGTATCTCACCTACAGGATAAGCACCAATCAGAGATCTAAATGTAAACACACATGGAACCGTGCAGACACAAAAAGAAAACATAAATGTGAATGATTTTCTCTCATAACCTGGGCATAAGGAATGAATTTCTATAAGGACTCACAATCTAAGAGTAATTTTTAAAAAGTTGATAAATACTATTTTTTACAAAAAGCTTTTGCAAAGCAAAACAGCCCAATAAAAACAAAGTCGGAAACTCTAGGAGTCAAGAAAAAATAAACCCAAGAGAGAAATGAATGTATATGAAGAGTTCACCAAAAAAAAAGTAGGTAATGACCTTTAAATGTATGAAAAAATGCTCAAATCACAACATAAATTGCATATTAAAACTACCATTTCTCAAATATCCATCTGGCAAAATTCAAAATCTTGAAAACAGTCTGTTGGCAAAGCTGTGGGGAAACAGGCCCTATGCTTATAGTGGGGGGGCATGGAGTTTGACAATTTTTACGGAAACTGCACACACGTTTAACCGTTCGACCCTGGAATACTGCATCTAGACACTTCCTATGCCCCTGAGTATCAACATTTTTAATAAGGCTTAGACATTTGAGCAATAGAAATGTCTCACATATTTTTAAAAAATTAGATAAAAACAAATGGAGACCAGGGGCACCCAGCTGGCTCCGTCGGTGGGGCACGTGACTCTGGATCTCCGGGTTGTGAGTTCAAGCCCCATGTTGGGGGGTTAGAGATAACTTAAAAATAAAAAAATCTTAAAAACAAACAAACAAACAGGAAAAGCAAATGGAGAACAGTAACCCTTCATGTTAAACATATTTAGAAAAAACAATAAACCCAACAGTCCATAAAACTGTCAACGGAAGTCCACGCCGAAAAGAACTAATTCAAGTAATTTTCGACCATGTACTCTTAGGACAATGTATTCTAAGAAAGTAAAGTAAAACCTGACAAAAAGAAAGGGGTGGTTAAGCGTCTGCCTTCGGCTCAGGTCATGATCTCAGGGTCCTGGAATCGAGTCCTGCATTGGGCTCCCTGCTCAGCGGGGACCCAGCTTGAAGATACTCTCTACTTCTGCCTCTCCCCCTGCTCATATTCTCTCTCTCAAATAAGTAAATAAATAAAATCTTAAAAAAAATAAATTGCCATTGAGAATCTGAATTTGATAACAGATTTGTCCATTTTAAAAAGAAACCAAGAGGGCGCCTGGGTGGCTCAGTTGGTTAAGCGACTGCCTTCGGCTCAGGTCATGATCCTGGAGTCCCGGGATCGAGTCCCGCATCGGGCTCCCTGCTCAGCGGGGAGCCTGCTTCTCCCTCTGACCCTCCCCGCTCTCATGTACTCTCTCTCTCATTCTCTCAAATAAATAAATAAAATCTTTAAAAAAAGAAAAAAAAGAAACCAAGAGCTCAGAGTGACCGGTTCTCAGAGGAAAAGAGTCACATCCCACACAAATGTGGAGACAGGAGACAGGGGCATCAGCCAGAAGCCAATCCCCGAGCGAGGACCACAGCCTGCAGAATCAGCCCGACCTGTGTGTTTATGCCGTGTGGACCCCTGAAGCACGCTACCCGTTTCTTGCCCTTGGGGGAGAACAGAGACCCCGGTGAGGGCCAGAAGGGGCCCGGGAGCTGCAGGGAGGCCCTCGAGTCAGGCCCCTGACGCTGGGTGGCAGGATGGCAAACGAGAGAGGCAAACATAGATGCCAGAGGAGCAGCCAGCAGGGAGATCTCGGGGCTCGGGGAAGGTCCACCAAATCGGCCAAAATGGAGTGTTGATGCAGAGGTGACTGCGGTCTGGCCGAGACGGGCCACCTGCTCTGACGTGGCTTCCTGTCTCCACCACGAGTGAAGAAAGACACCGCTCTCCGTGCATCCCTTCTAACAGCTCTCGTCATCACATGAACAACTACAAATTATGGGCACCTGGGGGCGCAGTTGGTTAAGCGTCCGACTCTTGGTTTCGACTCAGGTCGTGGGATCGAGCCCCACGTCGGGCTCCGCGCTCGGTGCATTTGCTTCAGATTCTTTCTCTCTCCCTCTGCCCCTCCCGGCTCAAACTCGATCTCTCTCTCTCTCAAATAAATACACAAAATCTGTAACAAAATAAAAATTAACATATGGAACCTTGTCCACTGACCTCTCGGAGGACCAGCAGGTGCATACACATGCACCGTTTGCTCATCCCAGGCGTAGACCTTCCTCACGAGAAAATCAGAAGGAGTAGGTTTCTCAGAGAACCTAGGATGGAAAAACAATGCAACAGTGTCTAGTTCTGTTTTGCTTTTTCCTCCCAAAGACCTTAGTCATAGGATTTTGAGCAAACACCCTGTTGACGACAAGGACACAGGCCGGGACTCCACGGCGCCACTGGGCTTTCGGTAAGAGCCACACAACACTGTCCCTCCTCACTCATTACAGAAGAAAACCTTCAGCCCGAAACACGAATGGCGCAGCCTGCGGGAATAACACAGTACCGCTCTGCACACCTGGGAAGGTGGGCACTGAGGCAGATGCACCTGCTGGTCCTAGTTACCTCCTTGCAGTAACTGCGAGCAGCCAGAACAGGAGGACAGGGGACGGTGAGCCCCACGCGGTCACTGAGAACCTGGTCAGAACCAAGTGACCTTTTGTCTGCGTGACCTAAAGAATTAAGGGAAAACCCAAAGGAGAAAAGAGATTTGCTCCCAGTAACAGTTCGGCTCATGTGGCAGGAGAAGGGTGGAGCCAACGATACACAGGGACACCATGGTGCACGCGGTGTAGACATCCCCCTGCAGAAGGCCACGTGGCTGAGGGCCCCACCCGAGCAGGGCAGTGGGACAGAGGGAGGACCCAGCCTGTGGGGAGGAGAGATGGTCTAACAGAACCCGGGCCCATCCAGACGGACAACAAACTCCCAAAGCCAGTGGCTTCCACTGACACTGTCAATGCAGGATTCCAAAAAACCTTCCCAGGTGGCCATTTATTTAGTGCTCCCTTGTGATCTGTTCATGAAATGGGCCTACCCAAGCCTCACAAACTCAACATCGTTGAGAAACAGGGTTCATTTATCGAGTCTCCTCTGACACATCATCTGAAACATTTTTTTCTTAAAAAAAAAAAAAAATAGAATTCTGACCCAGGTCTATACTGGGAGAGAGCACTGGATTCCGATGAGGCCCCCTGTGTTATCACCGACACTCAGGTGTTTCTTACTCTAACAAGCTCAGCGGGCAAGAATCCAAGCTCAGGGAAACAAAGCAGGAAGCTTACTCCCCAAGCAAGTGTCTATGTCCCATAATTTCGTTAGACCACGAGCCTCAGGACTGCGTGGAAAGTGAATTTCACTCCCTGGTTTTCACGAGATGTTCACGATTATCATGAATCATGTTGTCCTTCTTGTTGCCATCTGGATCCCATGGTGGCGGTCCCCCCACAACACACCTTACCAGCACCATGACCGGGAAAGCTCTCAGAACAGGCCTAGAAAATTCTATCCTTATGTGCAGAGATTCCTGGGGGTTTGCAGAATGCCCGATGAACTGATGAACATTCACTCTATCCCGGAGCAGCACAAACGTCATCTTAGTTCTATTTTCCTGTCCCAAAATGGAAAGCAAGGTCAGCAAAGGCAGGAAAAGCCAGCCAGTGTGGTCTGCATGAACTCAAGGCAGCTTGGAAAGACCCCTCACCAGGGCATCCTCCTCCCCGAACTCCACGGTCATGGGCTCCCTCAGCCGCCACCTGCTGATGGGTCTCCTGCTGGAGCAGCTGAACAGGGACGGGGCGACCACCTGGCCGATCTGCGGAGACAAGAGTGCCTAGGAGCAGTGGGGCCAGCAATCACACCCCTCCTGTGGGCCATGCTGGGCACCTGACGGTAGGGGGCAGCGTGGAAAAACGCAGCTCCTTTAGCTGGTTAGAATGGCAGGATTGGGGGACGCCATGCTGCCCTTGGATGATCACTCTCACTCCCTTGATAATTTTTAGTCTCTAAAGCAGTTTTGTTTTGTTTTGTTTTGTTTTGTTTTTAACTGGGGGGGGGAGGGGCAGAAGGAGAGAGAATCCCAAGCAGACTCCCCACTGACTGTGGAGCCTGATGCAGGGCAAGATCTCAGGACCATGAGATCACGACCTGAGCCTAAATCAGGAGTCAGATGCTTAACAAACAGCCACTCAGGTGCCCCGGTAATCTTGCTCTTTACTTGGAAAGCTCATACGAAAGAAAGAGCGGCAGATCATAGACAATCAGGAAGCAACAGAAAGGGGTCCAGAACACCTCCGCTCAGAGAACCTATCTGGGGACGCCACATCTGAAACCATCTCTATGTGCCAGCTACGTACACAGCACACGATGCACGTTCTGCGTTTTTTGCGTAAAAGCTTCCAAAGTCACTAAAATTCTCCAGCTGACATCATTAACTGGCTATTTATAGATGATCATAATTCATTTAAATCACCAGTGAGCTGGGCCCCCGTTGAACATTCAGGTACAACGCTATTTGGGTTATCATAAACCATGTTGTTTTGAATAAATGAAGCTACCCATCTTGCTTTGAGTAAGTCTGCTCATCTCCTCTGTAGATTCCTGCAAGTACAGCGGCAGGTCCGGCATCTGAAGCATCTCGGGAGCGCTGCTCGGGAGCATGCACCTCGGACGCCCGCTCGCTGCACCTCCACACAGGTGAGTCTCTTTAAACAACTGCACTGCTGTGCACTAAAAAATCACTTTCATTTCTGTTTCCTTACTGCTCGTTAGTCTGATTTTCATATGCGGGTTAACCATCTCTATTTCTATTTCCCTAAATAATAAAAGGTCAGTGTTTTATAAGATGAGCGTTTGTTAGCAAAAGAAGCTGCCCATCATTAATTGGTGCATTCATCCATCAGACATCATCAGGTACTTGAGCCAGGCTGGGGGGTGTGGAACACACAGAAAATGCCGGGCTCTGCCCTCCCAGCTCCCTGCCATTCCTGGGGTCCTTCAGATGGTTT